GTGGGGATTATTAACCCCTTAGATATACAGGTTTAATGAACACATATTTTAGGATAACAAAAGATCCGTCCATCCATTTTCATCCGCCCTTCTGGAGTCAGGTCGCGGGGGCAGCAGCCTAACACGCATGAACAATCCGCTCAAAAAAGTCCCAGTACACGAAGAGTCCATATAAATAATGCGGCATGGTATGAAACTGGATCATTTTTTCAGCTCCCCCTGGGTGTGTACATTGAGGGCTTCCAGGGGAGCAAATCTCCCTTTTGGGGGAACCAGGCTCCTCCTAGCTCCCTCGTTGTTGGACCCTGGATAGTTTAACACGGCCTTTTCAACAGATGCGTAAGCGGCGTAACGCAATAGACGCATTTTACCCATGAGCCTTCCTCCCAGCGGGAGCCATTCAGACACCAAATGGCACTGAAAGCGTTCCAGGTGGTCAAGAGGTTGCTAAGTGACCGGAGAATTGCAACACCACATTTGATTTAGGAAATTCACGTGATAACAAGCAAGGAGAAAGACGGCAACATGTACCCAAAAAGGTCAGTGTTATATTTTCTGTTCCAGTTACCCTGGCAACGGACATTTCACAGGAAATGACGCGCTATTGTACTAGTTTAACAACTGGAAATTGGAAGTTTTCCAGATGTTTTAAACTGCTTTGTGTTTTACTTCCTGCCTGGCCCGACCTGAACTGCTGAGCTTGAGGCATTAGTGCAGTATGTGATATATAATTCAGCAGAGCAATGCGTCTTTATGTGTCTGCGACTGGGACTGGGTCCAAAAGATGATGCTTTGCAGCTGGTGGAAACACACCCATTCACTATAACGCATCCATTGGAAAGGCCCGGTGATTTTTTATTTCTGATATCGATATAAGCTGACACCAATATATGTATCCCCCCCCCCCCCCCCCATAAAAAAAGACAACTAACAAAACCAATCAAAATATCTCAAACCTAGACCCCCGATCTGTCATATTTTGACATTTTGATTGAGAGACGTAGCTGACGAGTTTGATACATAATATGTGCTGAGTATGCAAAAGTTGTGCCATTGAAAGAAAAACAATACCGATTACATTTTAATGTCAGCATCGGCCGATATCAGATTTTTCTGCACATTTTTCCTGAAAAGATCAAAATCTGTTGAAAATATGGACAAATGTATTGAATGGAGAACAGAGAAACTGTTAAACTGTCAAAACAGCTCAGAAGCTGAATCAAACAGAAGCTCTGTACACACAAAAGCTACCCTTGAAAAGCAAATAAAAAAATATAAAATGTTCATGTATTTCACAAGGCCTGCAAAGGCTTGGTACATTTTTCAAATATCTTCTATTATTTTTTTATGCTTGGCCTTTAGATGTAATAGGTTTTGCTTATCATGCCATTTTTATACCCATAAGTTTCAAGAGTCTGCAGAGACACAGGTGCTCAATAAAACCCCAAAGATTATTCAGAACAATTGTTCTCATAAAAAATAGAGAATTATAAGGAAAATCAGCAAATATTTTTTCAAACTGTCCGTCTGGGTTCATTCATTTTACAAATTTAAAGGTTGAATATGGAACACGGACACCACAGTGACATCTAGTGTGTGGTGGTTGTAATTGCATCAATGGAACAAATCTTCCAGCCGTCAGGGTGTCGGTTCACTGTCGACACGTGAAGTGACCAGTCAGCACCGCGTCCAGTGACGGATTGTACAGGGTAAGGACTAATTTCTACTAATACATTTATTTAACGACAGGACATTTTCTGGGCTCAGAATCAGCTGCTTGACTTGTTAAGTCCACCATTTTACACAGTCCCAGCCTCGCCTTGCGTAGCTTTTTACCCCAGTGGTGTCACGATGTGGAGGGATGGTGAGGGAGGAAGAGCGGATCCTTCAGGCAGGTCGTCAAACCAGGCAAGACAGCAATGGACACTTGGTTCCTCTTTAATGGTCAGGAGTGCAGACACGACAGGGTAGACAGATGTGACCACAAACTGACGTGTAACGAGTACGATCCAACCAACCCACAAGCAACACACAAGGCTTATATACACACTGGGATGGGTAATCGGGTAACGAGGCAAGTGGACACAGTTAAGGTAAAACCCAGGCACAGGGGAGCAAAAATGTGACAAATGGTGCCCTCTATTGGCTGGTAGATGTAAACATAAACCCAGTGTTGTGCCCATCCACATTCTCATTCCCAGCGCGTCAAAAACAAACGCTTGGTCAGCCACCCTCCGCGTCAGACCCCTGGTGCCAAAAGTGCCCTTTTTCGTTACTTATGTGCGAAAAGGGGTTTTCCCTTTTCTGGTTGCAGATCCCAATGCAGCGTAAAACTGACGTGATGGGATATCCGCTGATGCGGCACCGAACCAGCTCATTTAACCACACCTAAACCTTAACGTTTTACTATTTATAACCTTCCCCTCTCCCTCATCCTAGCCTTAACCCTCTTGCTACCTAAAACGTTACTCTCACTGTGATCAAGCATTTGTTTCCCCTGCATTCTGACTCTGACAGTCAGTCTGACTGTGAATTTTCGTATTTGCTGCCCAAGGGGAACGTTAGAACATACCATCTGGCGAGGAGGAGGTTACAAATACCCTCTACTTTTAACCTCCACCATGGTAGTTGAAACCTCCCCTTCACGTTGCCTCGGTCCAAACCCGACCAATGACGAGGCGGCTCCCGCCGTTCACTTCATAGAGCCGGCTTTTAGAGCGACCAACACATCACTAACGTGTTCGCTAGCAAGATGGTTACGGTTAGGATGAGGGAGAAAGAAAAGGGAAAACCTCTTTTCGCACATAAGTGACGAAAAAGGGCACTTTTGGCGTGAGGGGTCTGACGCGGAGGGTGGCTGACCAAGCGTTTGTTTTTGACGCGCTGGGAGTGAGAATGTGTTGGCCCATCAAAATGTTTGTATTTTTTTTTAAATATAGCTTTTAAAGGGAATACTGTACCTTCATTCTGCACACCCTTAACACTCCATAGAGGTATTATATTTTTGAAATATAGCTTTTTATTTAATAGTTCCATATTCAACCCTTCTAATTTAATTCACCCCGTCACTTATTTTGTAACAAAACACACACGTGTGACCTTCTGTCTTTAGTCAGAGTTCCTTTCTGCTGTCGGGGAGAAAAAGACACAGGTGTGTGGTCACCACGGTGACCCAAATGAGCAACTGGATGCAGCTTTAACATTTCATTAAATCTTGGTTTTCTTTAAGAAAACATCTAATGAATATGAGAGTTTATTTCATGGATGTTTCTTTCTTCTAGGACTGAGTTCTTTCTCCTTTTGAACTTCCTGTGCACTCAGCTGGAGATGGTGCGTCTCTGCTGGTTGCTCCTGGCGTTCACGTGCAGCTCCGGGTTTGGGTCAACCTGCTTGGACAGCGCAGTTTGCAGCCAGCTGAGCAACAAGGATCAAATACTGGTACAGTAAAGTCACTCCTGTTGTTTTTCTCCTTTTGTGGCATCAAAGGAGACATCATCTGTACTCAAATGGAAGAGGAGCTAACAAACTCAAACACACACAAAACATTTATGAGAAACATTGTGCAGTTCTCTCAAAACTACTTTGTCATATTTATCCCGCAGGACTGTGTTCACCTCTGCATGTCTGTGATTCAAACTGAAATCCCAGATCTGAGTGAGTCTGCTCAGCAGATCCATGATGATGATGACCTCTTACTCACCATCTTCCTGTCCACTCTGGTTCCTGAAGACAAGCCATCAGACGGAAACACCCACAGCGACCAGCGTCGTTCCTATTCCATGGAGCATTTCCGCTGGGGGAAGGCCAACAGCCGGAAACTCAGACCTGTAAAAGTCTTCTCCTCCCTGGAGGGTGGGGGCTCTCCTGCGAGCGGCGCCCCTTTTCGGGCTTACAGGCACCTGCTTAAAGACCGGAGTGTAGCTCTTGATGCAAATCACCTAAATCAGGATTTGTTAGGGTCAAGGGTCACCTCCGGGTCAGGCCTGCCCAGGAGGAAATTTAAGCCCTACAGGATGAGTCATTTCAGGTGGGGCAACCCCCCAGCAGCAAAACCAAACAACCGCTTCATGAAGTCATGGGAGGAGAAGCCTCAGGAGAAGCTGGACCAGTACTTCCAGAACACTGTAGTGAAGAGCATCCAGAGGATTATGGCATAAATGGAGGACTGCACGTTAGCTTTCACATGTGCTAGATTTAAATGACATTATTGTTCTGTTTTACTATGTTGTTGAACATGACTCTAAAGGAAATATTATGTTGAACATAAAAACCATGAACTGCAGCAACTGCCTTGGACTTGTTGGAATCTTTAGAGGAATGTCATTTATCACAATTACTGATCCCAGTATTTATTATTTATTTGAAGGAAATATGTTCTTATGTTCTCATTTCATCAACAAAGGTTTGTTTTTCTGTAAATAAAAGAATAAAAAGCTCTTTTTGCAAATGATAACTGTCGCTTTTCATTAAAACATACTAATACGAGTAATGTGTGTGTGTGTGGCAGTCAGCACGTCAAATATTAATGCTAATAAACACAACCAGGTTTAAATAGAGACTACCATTGAGATCCAACCTCATTTTTTATAATTAATTTCACAGATTTCATCACATCAGTAGCCAAGTTATTCATTTTAGAAGTTTTGCTTATTTTCTTGCTAGCTTTCTTCTCTCATCTTGGATTACCGAGATCATTTTCATGCCCAACTACAAATTTGAGCAGTTTTACAGCATAGCATGCACGGCTGCATAAGTGGAATGCAGCCCTCTGCTTTTTAAACAAGGGGATAGTTTATGAATCTTGCAGCCCCGTTGTGCTCTTCCTGATCTACAAGTGCTAAATATAACATTTGATGCTAACATGCTACAAACTTTGCATCCCACGAGAAGCGATGAAGCTTTGTGCTGTGATGCAGGGTCAGATGGGCAGAACCAGCTGGATTTCAGTCATTTAAAAGTAAAACCAAACTGGTTTGTGACACATTTATTGTTCAGCACAGTAACATTAGTAGCATGCAGTCAGGTATGACACACATAAGGCATTTTCTTCATGTCAAAGCTGCCTTTTGTCACTAAGTAATCCAGTTTTAAAGTGCAAAGTCCACAGATTTGAATGGATTTGACCAACAGCACTACACTGTAAACAGATCTACTAACCAGACGCGTGATGAAGAAAAAAAAAGGAGTTATATCAACAACACGTGGACTGTTAGATTCCTGGGTCCTCACTGCCGACTTCAAGATGCTGAAAAGACAATTTTACAAAACAAAAATGAGCTGGGACTGCTGCAGGATTGCAGAAGTTGTTTAAGGTTTACCGGGTGGAAGAAGTCACCGGATAAAACCGTAAACTGTGTGGTGGTTTCGGTCTCAGCTGACGACAATAAAAGACACAGACTCAAACAGATATGATCGCTCGCGCGATGAGAAAGAACCAGACACCATCGTCGACATTAAACAAGACGTCTGCATGTTGGACAGAAGCACAGGAGGAGGAGTGCGGTCTCTTGAAAACATCACAGACGGAGCCATCACAGCACAACAACAAGAGGCACAATTTAAATGCACAAAGATTTGGATACCTTCAGCGGGGCTTGTGCCAAAATTATTGCCATTATACTTTTATGTCATACCTGTGCGTGTGCACGTGTGCACACAGAATGGCTTATCAGATCTGGATGAGACAGCCGTGGGAAGGACTGAGGACGTAATGGCAACAATTCTGTTTCTACTGTGGACCATTCATCTGGACTCTTGTGTTCATGTTTGCAGCCTTTTAGCGTCAGGTGTCTGGATAATTTCTGCCTGGACTATGAACACAATCAGTGCTACACACATCCCTGCTGTGTACATAGGCTTAAAGATTTATATAATTCTCTGTATTTACACATATATATGGAAAGGACAAAAATAACTATTTATCTAGTGTTTGGTGTGGTAAACAACCAAGTCAACGCTTCAGGATTTTTGTTTTTGTAGTCAAGACGTTGCAAGTTCGCTCGTTTGTTTGAGCGGCCGTAGGCAGCTCAATTAAAAATACCTAAAAACGTAATAAATAGAGTAAGAATTAGGAAGTAAATGACCACCATAAAAGAAAAATAAGCACTTCTGGCGATCACTAAAAAGGCAAAAAAATAAAGTAAATAGAACACGCGCTGATAGGGTTAGTTTTACATGTAAAAGTAAATATTTATGAAAATACACTAAACTAAAATACACTCTGGTCTTCAAATCTATAAAAATAAATAGAAAATGTGAGTGGAAATAAGATTACTTCAACTAATTTGATGATGAAAAATAGTTATGGCACCCTGTGAGGGAAAAAAACATCAAAACAGAACATTTCCAGCTACCCGACACATTGTTTTGTCACAGTTCTTGGCATTTTGCTAATTCAAAAATCCAACCAGTGGAGTTTCTACAAACATGTAACCAGATATGAATGAAGTGACTTTGTTTGCTGCACTTTCTGAATTGAATCAGCTTGTTTTGGCTGCAATCAAAGAGGTAAAAAGGATTTTTTTCCTACAGCTAAGTTAATCAGAAGGTGGTTTGTTCTTGAGTTGCAGCTTAGTTTGTCCCAAATGCATTGTGGGTGATTTGATTCCACTTCAATCCATTTTGTCGCGTCGCTGCAGACTTTGTGCTTCAATACACACAAAGGTCGGGAAACTTCATCTCGTAAATGGGAACGGAGCGACTCTGGTTTTGGCCGTAGCCTGATGAAATGGTTCCAGATGGGCTGGGAGGGGGTCTGAATGGGAGACGGGACAAAGCAGACAAGTCACGGTCACTGTTAATGATCCTAAACTTTCTGTGCGTTCCACAGGAAGTCAAGATCTTTGTCATTATCATGTCTGTTACCTGATGGTGATCTCAAATATCTGATTCAGTTTGCTCTGCAGCATTGTGGCCTGGAAAAGAGTCAATAAAAAATGTATTTGAAGCTAATTTAAGTTAATAGATGTTCATTTAATATGGAAAAAAGTTGAATAATAATTTTGTAGTACCCTGGCACCGCAGTGAGCAGCGATTTCCTCAAAGGGAGCTTTCTGGAACTTCTCCACCACTTGTCTCCTCCGCTCTCGCTCCTGCTCCTCCATACCGACACTGTCCACTAGAGGGAGACAGAAACAGCACAATGTCTAAGAAGAATCCTGACAAAAGCAGGTGTTAGATCTGGGGGAAAAAACACTGAAAATGAAGCTGCAGCAGCCCCTTTTCCTTATTCCTAATTTTGGAACAGCTTTTTATAATATCGGCAGCTCATCCATGCAAATTCACTATGAATTAACATACCAATTGCATTTTTGAGGGTTTCAAACGTGATCTCTTCGGCAGGCGTCCTCTGCAAAACAACAAGCGCAAAGCCAGGACGATGAGGATAACATTTTTACACTTGTCCTAATTTTCCTAACAAAATAAACATTTATCAGATTTCACCTCTTCCTTCTCTGGGCTGTTTCGAGACTCAACCTCCACTTGAAGAGAGATGGTCTCCCCAATGCTCTTTCTTTTGGACAGCCGGTCCTCATCTGGACAAAATGTTCACAAATTTTTAACATTCATGATGTTTTTATAACTAAAGATGTTGATAATAAATAGTCTAACTATTCAACTTCATGTTTCCACTTCTCACCAGTGTACTGAGGAACATATGGCAATCCCAGCCTCTCAGTGTTATAACCACTTCCTCCCAGAACCTCAGTAATCTTAGACTGGAGGAACAAAACATCCCCTTCCACCTTATCCAGGGATAAAGGAAGCCTGGGAAGAAAATAAGAGGTTAGTCAAGATGTTTAAATAGCAGACAGGATGCACAAATTTAAATAAATACCATTCATACTTGGGACTTTCAACAAAAACATCCTCGGGCAAAAAGTACGGCCTTTCTTTCTGTCGGACTTCAATGACCTGAATGGCAGAGAGGAAAAATAATTAATACCAGCGTGAGTGCTAAATTTCACACAGAGAAACGGCGAGTGTCACCTCGTGTATGTGCTGGCAGAAGGCCGGGACGGTGGTGAGCTGGCAGATGAGGTTGAGGTAGGCAGCAGAGAGGGCGTGAATAGCACAGCGGTTATAAACAGGCAGGGCTTCGTCTGTGGACAGAGCCAGGTCCTGCACGGGAAACAAAGAGGCTTCAGGAACACCACGACTGTTTGACTGAGGTGTGACAGGTGTGACTGATAGCGATGGGTACCGAATTCGGTACTTTTTAAGGTACCGACCGAATTTCAGAGTACCGACTGAGCACCGATTCATGTCAATTGAAACGGTGCCTCGTTTCGGTACCCGTCCTTCACAACGAGAACTTGCCTAGACAGCTACGCATACGCAAGAGCGTTATGTCGTCGGTCGCTGCGAGCCAGTTGTAAACAGAGCAGCATGGTAGAAAGAACGCACGCTAACGCTTGGGTCCACTTCACTAAATGCGACGGGTGATTGGGTGACGATGAAACCAGCGACAACGATCGAAGTGAGACATCCTCATCTTAATCTGCTCCGGTAGGTAAATAAAATGTTTAAGATAACGTTAGCTTGATTTGTTAGCTTCCGTTTCACTAATGGTGCGTTCGCTTTCTCCTCGGAACTCCGACTTTCCGACTAGAAGAACATGAACGCGCTCTAGGTGATTGGGTGAAGATGAAACCAGCGACAACGATCTAAGTGTGAGGCATCATCGTTTTAATCTGTTCCAGCAGCTAAATAAACTGTTAAAGATAACGTTAGCTTGATATGTTAGCTTCCATTGCCACCATTGTTATCAGCTAATGGTGCGTTCGCTTTCTCCTCGGAAATTCTAACTTTCCAGTAGGAAAAATCAAATGAAAAAAGACGGCAAAAGGAATGAAGATGCACAGTAAATTTAGTTCACAGTAAAGATGTTTGCTTCGGTTTAATTATCAGCTTATAAAACTACAAGGACGATGTTAAAATACAAACAGTTGTATGTTATCTATTGTGATCTTTATCAAATATTGTTATATATTGAGAAAAAAAATATATTTAATTATAAAAGAGAATTAAAATAATAAACACTCAAAAGTATCTAAAATTGGTACCGTTAAGTACCGGTATCGATTCCTAGGTACCGGGAATTAGTACCGAATCCATTCAAATGTCAAAGGTACCCATCCCTAGGTACCTGCAAGGCAAGCGCCAGGCGAATGAGATCCACCACCACCTCTTCGTTGGCCAGCTCCACACTCAGAAGACCCAAAAGAGCGTAGAGGGACTCGTAGTGTTCCCGGCCGCTGCTCTCTTCCTTACAGCCCAGGTAGATGTGCCGGTACAGATGCTGGCCGTGCTGTGAACAGCAGAGAGAAACCTTGATGTTACACTATGTTTTGTAACTTTTGATGAAAGCAAACTGTTGAAGTTTGGAACTCTATTTGAAAACATGTCTACGTTGTACCTTCTTCATGAATAAATTGTCCTGTCTGGAGCACTTGTCAACTTTGAGCTTCAGCACAGAGATGTCTGATATGATGCTGGACAGAAGCGACAGAAACGTCAAACTCCACAACAAACCTTTAATAACCAAGCGCATGAAATAACAAACCTTATTTTGGAGAACTTGGGCCTGTTGTCGTGCCTGTCGATGAGACTGAGGAGGATCTGGAGCACCAGCAGCCGGACCTCCGGGTCGTCCGTTAGAGAAAAGGACAGCAGCGGCTCCAGGAAAGAGCTGGGCAGCGCCGTGAGCATGTTGGTAGTCTGGAAACCTGCCGTCACCTGAGATGGATCAGAAACATGTTTAATAAAGCAACATGAAAGCTGATTACTCTGTGATAACATTAACACTCACCTGGACCAATGACTTGAGCAACATCACCTGAAACATTCTTGTACCCTCAGACCTGGTAATAAAAATGGCAAATTAATCATTGATCCATTTTTTTATGAATCTGAGAATACGGCTGTGTGTGAAGAGATTCCACAGAGATGTAGTGAGATTTGGGAGCAACATACTCAGATCCAGTAGAGGGAAGAGTCAGATTCATTCCAGGGACAGGGATCTTGCCCATGATGAAGAGCATGACCTCTGATCTCTGGTAGGTGGGTAAAGTGTTGGCAAATGAACCTGGAAGTAAATGGAACGAAGGTTCAGTTCAAAACAAAAGTCTGATGATGGTGATTTAGGGATGGGTACCGAATTCAGTACTTTTTAAGGTACCGACCAAATTCCATAGTACCGACCGAGCACCGATTCACGTCATTTCAAACGGTGCCTCGTTTCAGTACCCGTCCTTCATAACGAGAACTTGCCTAGACAGCTGCGCATGTGCAAGAGCGTTACGTCGGTCGCTGCGAGCGAGTTGTAAACAGAGCAGCATGGTAGAAAGAACGCACGCTAACTTCACTAAATGTGATGGGTAACTGGGTGAAGATGAAACCAGCGACAACGATCTAAGTGTGAGGCATCATCGTTTTAATCTGCTCCAGCAGTTAAATAAACAGTTTAAGATAACGTTAGCTTGATATCTTAGCTTCCGTTGCTACCGTTATCAGCTAATGGTGCGTTCGCTTTCTCCTCGGAAATTCTAACTTCCCAGTAGGAAAAATCAATTGAAAAAGGACGGCAAAAGGAATGAAGATACACGGTAAATTTAGTTCACAGTAAAGATGTTTGCTTCAGTTTAATTATCAGCTTATAAAACTACAAGGACGATGTTAAAATACAAACAGTTGAATGTTATTTATCGTGATATTTATCAAATATGGTTATATATTGAGAAAAATATATATTTAATTATAAAAGAGAATTAAAATAATAAACACCCAAAAGTATCTAAAATTGGTTAAGTACCGGTATCGATTCCTAGGTACCGGGAATTAGTACCGGATTGATTCAAATGTCAAAGGTACCCATCCCTAGTGATGATGATAATGCTCTCTAGAAACATAAGTCACAAGCTCACCAATGGTCCTGATGACAGCCTCCTGCAGCTGCCTCTCCTCGTGAGCTTTGATGATCTTGGTGCCGATGCTCGTGCTGCCGTCATACGAGCCAGTCATCTCGTAGTCCACGCTGAGGCGAAGCTGCCTCAGCAGAGTGTTGAACACCTCCAACACCGTGGGACCTGGAAACACATAAACTCAAATCATTTGACGTCTGGAACATCGGCGCAGAAACATCAGCGATGTGACGATGCAACGCACCTACAGAACCACTGGCTGCAATGGCCGCCGCCTCCAGCAGGACCGCTACAATTCCGGCCCGCACCCGGGCCGAGTTCTTGCTGTTGGCGTCCAGGTGGCCGAGGAGCTGCTGGATCACTAAGTGAGAGTGCTGCGACTGCAGTAAAGAGGGAAGGAAACAAAAACAGGCGCCTACTCTGAATCCACGGCTCGACTCGGACTTTCTTTATATAGCACCTCACAGACACTTGCACTTTACCAAAGTGCTTCACAGACAGACATAAAAATATAACACATAAAATCCACTAGAATCCACAAGGGGAAAAGCTAAACAGCAGAGCACGCGTCACTCACCTGGATGGAGTACATGATGATTTTGAAGCAACGCACCGCGAAGGTCTTCCCTTCCCATAAACAGTGGTTGTCTAAGTGCCTGAGGAGGACAGGAAGGAGGGAGATGGGGAGGAAGTGGAGGATGTAATTAAGAAGTGTCAGGAGAGATGGAGAGCAGAGAGCCGTTTTAGAGGCTCAACTTCAAGGCTATATTTGTTATGCATCCTTTCTAATAGTGAGGAAAAAAGAAGGAGGCAAAAATAAAAAGTCCTCAAAAGGTAAAAAACATAAAAAGACTTTAACTAATAAAGATTCAACAGTTAATTCAAAACTGTCTAATTTTGCTGTGAGATATAAATAACTTAAAAACAGCTTGTGGATGTTTTAATCACTTAAAATCTAGTGGAAAATAACTATTCCATCCGCCAGAGATGAAATAAAGAAAGGCGGAGATAAAATGGAAGCGCAAAAACTGGTGAAAGATAAAATAAAAACACAAATATAAAGTTAAAGTCCCATCAGTTGTCACACACACTGATGTGTGCGCGAAATTTGTTCTCCGCATTTGACCCATCCCCTGGGGGAGCGGGGAGCTGCAGACACAGCCGCGCTCGGGAACCATTTGGTGGTTTAACCCCCCAATCCAACCCCTTATTGCTGAGTGTCAAGTTGGGTCCCATTTTTTTCAAAGGCTTTGGTATGACCTGACCAGGAATTGAACCTTGATCTCCCAGTCTCAGGGCGGACATGCTACCACTGGCCAGAGAGGATCAGTTGGTGATTAAAATGATAGTACCATATGGTATTGTAACCCCAGATTCTAGTAGTATAGGCACAGCCCTTTAAAGAGCAAGTCACTCCAAATCACCATTTTCTTGCTGATAAACTACATAAATGAGTGTCCAATTGTGCTGTAGACAAATGTAGTCAATAATTCGGCACTTTAGTGCATCTTAGTTAAAATTTAAATATTCTGCCTAAAACTGTCAGCGATGCACCGTCGTTAGGCAAAAACTCAGCACTGCATTTGAATTTAAATCTGCCACCGCTATTGGCTAAGAGGTACACTATGATGTTAGATGGTACATTAAGATGTCACAGTGTCTTGAGTGTGTGTATTTCTGAGAGGCTCCGCCCTCTCGGTCTGCTAGGCAACAGCATTTGGTGCATTTTTCAAACCGGAAGTGGGAGTTGAGTAAGAATCTGGCAGGGGGTGACTTGCTCTTTAAGGCTGCGGATAAGTCGTTCTCGGGTTAGCCAATCGCTGAAGAGTTTTCAAAACACTCCCGCCACAGCGGGGCCAAATTCCAGTATATAAGGTGTGCTAGCCCCTCCCTTGTCTCCCAAAGCTCTTGACCCTACCAGAACCAGTGAGGCCCGCCGCTTTTAGGGCGGCACCTATACTCATAAAATCTGGGGTTCCAATACGTAACCATCGTTCTTTTTCACACAGGCTCCGCCCTTTAAGGCTGCTATTGGATTAAAGGTGAAGCTGGATGAGTTTGCACCTCACTGGTTCAGAACGAACCCAAGTAAAAACACATTCCCCTCCCAGACAACACTTACAAAAAAAGGAGAGCAGCCAGAGCGAGGGAGTGATGTCACAATGTGTATTCACACAACAGGAGAACCTTTAGAAAACAACCTAGTCAGGGATAAACAGGTGGCAAGGGAGGGGCTTGCACCCCTTTATTAACTGAAATATGGCCCGCTGTAGGGAGTCGTATATTGAAAGCTCTTTGGCGACTGGCTAATCTGAGAACGGCTTATCCAATTGTAGCCTTAAAGGGCGGAGCCTGTACAAAATAGAACTGCGTTTTAATGAGAGGAACAACAGGATTGGTTGAATTACGAGTAAAAGAGGAAGAAAATTGGGACCAAAGCAAAGAAAAAAAGAAAAAATGCACCACACACATTGAGCCAGGATCAAATCGAACAAATATTCTAAATAAATAAAATCTAAAGCAAGCTAGAAATATGAAAACCAACTCAAATATCTGTCCAGTAGAATGACCTACATCCCAGAAAGGCAAAGTAAACAGATGCAAAACAAATGTGTCCTCTGTAAACAAACTCTAGTCTAGAACAATCACACAACCTTCCATCGCCTGTGCCGTGGTCCTGTGGGACGAAGCACATAAAGATACAAACGCAGCTGAAGAGCCCTGAGACGCACCATTGCCCCACGTTGAATAAATACAGAAATAAAAAAAATAAATTAAAAAAACAGCATCAAGCTAAAGATGGAGGCTGAAAATAAGACGTTTGGCAGTGGGTCTTACATTAGGACAGGCGTGACGGCGTTCTTGATGTTGCCGTAGGCGGCTCGCCCCAGCAGCTCCCTGAAACAGCGCTCTGTCAGCTCCACCGGGCTTTCCTTCTCCTTCTCTGATGCCTGCAGCGGAGAGGGAGAGCGGCTACTGGGGAGCGACGCAGGTGATGAAGCAGAAACAGAGGAGAGGGAAGGGGCAGGGAGGATTTGAGTGGAGGGGGGAGGGGGGGGGGGGGGGGGAACAGAAGAGGGAAGGCGTTAAAGTCAGTTAGATTCAGCAACACAAACATTTCCCCTGGAAGTCTATTTGTTACACAAAAACACTCCGAGGAGTCGTAGCTCCTCTAAACGGGCTGATTTAACTCGGTGATGGTGTGTGCGCGTGTGTGTTTTCTCCACATCTGTTCAGCTGTGTCTAGGTCTGCATATGTGTGTGTATTTTTCTCCTGCATAATTAAAAGCCTCCGCTCTAACTTGGTCATGCCGAGCCTCTGGTCGTCCACCACTGATGACATTATTTATTAACAGCCCAACTCTTTAATCTGGTTTCTGGCTGCGAGGGAGGAGAACACGTGAAATTCAGCCTCCTAAAAACTAACAAACAAACTAAAGAGAAATTAAAAGTCCTCAAGCTCTTGTTTGGATTTTTGGATCATTAATAATTTTTTTCTGGGAACAAATTTTTCTCAAAAAGCAAATAAATTAAACAAAACGTTTCAGAAACATGGAAACAGATGTTTTATTCAGTCAAGAACTCCCAAGATGCTCTGATCACACTGGTGTGTAAAGCCACCTAACATTTAATACCAATGGGATGTGTAACTGGAAAGGAGTCAGCATATTATACCTTCATGTAGCCTGCTTTATGTAGTCTATAAATAGCACCGAGACTAATATCATAATCCATCATCAAATATATTTGTTATAATGCACAGTGTATCATTCTCTAATAAACCCCCCACTCAGCTTGGAGATCAGTGTGAGCTGCGAGGACAGTCCCAAAGCCCTTGGATTGTCCTGAAAACCGGATTTTACTCGATTACCGAATTTTACTCTTTAGGGCACAAACTCACATTTCCTCTTCCTCAAATATGTGACAAAATGGATGGAGGTTTTTTTTTTTTTTTGCGTGTTTGTTGGCAAACAAATATTCCCATAGAAAGTGCAGAATGCCACAGCATGGTTCTTGATAAACACAGACAAATGTAGACCTATCACTCCGATTCTGGTTGGCCTACACTGACTCCCCGTTATCTACCAGGTTCAATTTAAAGTTCTAATGTTTGTCTACAAAGCATTTGGCCCCATCTCATCTCTCTGAGCTGCTCATACCATGCGTGCCCTCTGAATCTCTGGTCTGCTGAACACCTACTCTTGTGCGTTCCTAACATGCACTATAAGACCAGAGAGGAGCTGGCTGTCTCATTTGCTGCCCCGAAACTTTGGAACGAGCTTCCACTTCCTGTGAGGCAGGCCTAATTGGCCTGAAATCACATTTTATTAGTCAAGCTTTAGGTCATTGATTATTTTAATTGCATGCTGTGTTATTTCTGATCTGTATTTTATTGTTTTCATGCATTGTTGTTATATTGCTCACCTGTTCAGCACTTTGATCAGCTACCATAAAGCTATAGAGATAAAACTGGATTTGATTGGAAATCTCTCCTGAACAGTGTTGGGCATCTTATGTTAATAAAGTAATTAGTTATAGTGACAAATTACTTTTTCCAAAAAATTATTGAATTAGTAACTCAGTTACTACATTGTAAAAGTAATTAATTACCTAGTAAAGTAAATGTGACGTTACTTCTATGTTCTGTAACACAGTTACATTCTATAATAGCTATACCATCAAAGTTTTTTAACTGAATTGATCTTACTATTTGAATACGTCAGGTATCTGTGGATATCTGGAATGTTATTTTCTACTAAGATTAACAGAATTATAGATATCTGGAATACATATCCAGTCTGCCTTTCCTACTAGTGCAGCTGTTATTATGGATATCCTTAATTCTAAATGCTACAGTAACAACATAGCTGTTCATGTCTTCATTTGAAATTTTGACTAATAAGAATACAATTAGTAATATGATGAATTAAATTATTGCTATATAAAATAAGAAAATACAGAGAGGATCAACTATTGATTAAATGTTAAAACAGCTTGCCACAGTCTCGCTTGTACTGCTTTCACTCATTTCCTCACCTACCTGAAGTGCTGTTTATTGTTATTTCCTCCTCTTTTACAGATTTGTCCCCATCAATATTTACAGATCCCATCATGTTAATGCAATAATTGTCCCAGGCATTTTGCGCATGCCAACCTCCTCCCTGCTTCATAGTGATCGGAGAGATGAGTTGCGTGCAGCGCTGCGCCCACGACTCACCTCTCTGATCTGCAAACAAACACCCTGATGTGTTCCGCGCTGTGTTCCTTTTTGCCGTTAGTAAACCGGTTCGAGGTGGGATGTGGGTACAGCCGGTGTCACTCACTCTGGCTCCGGCCGGCTCAAGAGCAGTGGCAGCTGGTGAGTTTTTTTTTTGGGTGGGATCAGGGTGGGATGCATTTATGCTGTCTCAAGATGTGAGATGCGATAACAATATATTACCACTAGGGGGTGCCAATTTACCATTCTTATGATAGAATCTACATTTTCAACCTCAACAATGATACAAAATTAAAGGGCCGAAAAAAAGCTAAATACAGATGTCGAGAAAAGCACAGTAGCAATAATGCAACATGATCCTATCCACAGAAGCAGCTCAAGGAACTTAGCAGCAAAACAAACAAAGCAAATGTCATGAAGTCAAAAGCGTCAATTCAGTCTTACCTTTGCAGATTTTTGGTCATAATAATTCATTTTATAGTAAAAATAAAATAAAATAAAAAATAAAACACTCACATGCACCAGTTCGCATAGATCAATGGTAGAGATTGCTGCGCCCAAAAGGAACAGGAAATACGTCCCAAGACAATTAGGTCGTAGTAAATATCGTTTTTAAACTACATTTAAATACAGATTATACACAGCACTTATAGTATGTAGGATGTATAGATTGTTTAGTTTAATTTTCATGTCGTGATTCCTACCTTCTTTCTCTTCCTGTGAGACTGGTGGGGCGACTCCCTAGCGCCCCTATGGACGAGCCGCCACTGCTCAAGAGCTGTTTTGTTCACGCATCAATGGTGTGGCTGTCAATAATGGCATGCCAGCCGCTGCATTTTATTCAAGTACATTATAACAGAGTGACGCACCACTTTGCATGCCCAACAATGATAACGGTGTTGCCATGATTGGGAAAAGTAAGTAATTAGATTACTCTGTTACCTAAAAAAATTATGCCATTATACTTAAACACTGTTACTCCCAACACTGCTCCTGAACCACTGAGCAGATGTTAGTGAAACTTTCAGGAAGTGATATTTAGATTTTCATCGGTAACTTAACTAACTTTGCTTTAACGTCATTTATGACAACACCAACTTAGCTTTTCTCTTCAAACACAATTACATGGCCACTAAACAAATGTCTCTTTTATTAGATTGGTGGTAATAAAACGACTCAGATAAATGTGACTCGTTGTCACATCTGAATCAATATTACCGAGTCAATATTTTACCTGTTAGTGATGTTCTGTCATTAGTGATTAGTTTGTGTTCATATATCAGGTGTCTTTAAGCTTCCCGCTAGCAAAGCAAACACAGAAATCAGGTGTACTCAGCTTCTCACTTCTGCTGAGTCAACATCTGAAGAAAAAGATTGTACGACACGCCCAGCACGAGTCCAGAAATTGCTGCTGTTGTCTCTGGAAGTCTCCACTCTTTGGTCTTTAACTAAAGTGGTACACGTCCACTGGGATTAAGTAGAAGAAAATGCACGACCTTCAGGTAATTAGATTCTGCGCCGACTGCAGTGAGTAATGACAAGTGAGACTCGGCGAGAAGAGGAAATGAGGATGCACAGCAGGAGGAGACCACAGAACGTAAACAGAGGAGACGAGCTGAGAAGGAAATATGACTCTGTTGGAGAGTGTCGCTCCGGCTCCAAATGTCAATAACCTCCTCGTTTTTAGAACTATTCTCCATTCTTCGTTCTGCATTCCACATGTCGGCTTCCCCTTTGCGCGCATAACCCTCAGATCTCAGCGTTGACGTCAAAAGGAATTTTATCTTGGGAAAAGCTGCCAACTACTCCAAGCTCTGCAGCATCCTCTCAAAAACTGGCAGCCTCCAACTCTGTTTTCCTGTGTTGCACTTTTTCTGTTCTTGTTCCTCCCTTTCGCATTCTTCTCTGGTCTTCCTTAATACTCCACTCTCACTGCAGGTTGTTTGCTCTTAGATGTGGGTTAATAGATCCCCATGAGAGATAAGCGCTGTCAGCAGGCTTGCTACGTTTTGACAATAATGGTGAATGGCATCGGTGGTGGCTTGTGAGACTGCCAGGACTCCATTTTAAATTTTTTTAATCTCCACAATATATTTAGTGCTATGTTTGAATGTAAAGAGGCATGATAAAAAAGTTTTCGAGCTGATTGGTTTTCCAAATTTGCCATTGTAGCTTTAAGCCATTTATTCTAGCCGTTTTTAGCCATTTTTGTGTTTTCTACTACTAATTAGCCATGGTGGCCATCTTGAATTGGGTTGACTCCAAAAGTAAGTCACGTGTAAAAGTGCATCAGAGTATTACGGTACTTTTTGAGACATTGATAAAAATCAGTCCAGTGGTTCATTTTCTGGCAAAAACATTATTATACCTAAAACATGGTATAATGAAGGTTTTCAGGTATAGGGAGAAAAGTCTCCTCCTTTTCTGGTCGGCTCACGGGTAGAGGTGGGAAAAATGATAGATTCTAAGATGCATCGCGATTCAGCCATGCATGTTTCTGCATCGATGCAGCAACGTGACATAATGAGATTTTCTCCCTATGTCTATGCCTATGTTCTGGACGTGCGCGGGCAATAAAGTTTTGAGGTTTTACAACTAATTCCGGGGGCAGAATTGCAATGACATGCACACTGCCTTGCCCTAGCGCCAATGTAAAACAGAAAAGGCGGACAGGGATACAGGGCCAACATTACCAGTAATCAAAGATGCACATTTAAATCGGATGTTTGGGCTAATTTCGGTTTTGGGATCCTGGATGTGAACGAATCACTTAACACAGTATTTGTTTACTATTTTTAAGTTCAGTAATATTCTATCTTAAAGCTGCTCTACCGAAAACATTATTTCTTGAATTATTTAAGTAATTATAGGCAGCACACTTTAAACATTATTGCTCACTATAGTGAATAGATGAATGTTCTGTTTTTCAGGGATTTCGAAATCAAAAAGAAATTGAAAACTATTCTACTGCTTTTATTAAGTAATGAAAATTTTTGTGTGAAGAATCGTGATGCATTTCAGACTCAAATCGAAACTTTAGGCAGATAATCGGAATCGGATCGAATCGTGAGGCAGGTAGAGATGCACACCACTGCTCACGGGCCCCGGAAGAATGAAAAAAACGAATGCAAGTCAATGAGGATAAAAGAGCTATTTTCTAATCTGCTTTGCCTTACACCCTGGATCACACATGTACTTCTATTTAAATGAAAAGTAATGATGGGTGTTTCGACCACGCCAGTCATGTACTTTGAGATTTATAAGCTTGTAAAATTTCATAATTAGTATAACTACAAATCAGACGTTGGTCTGTCGCACAGAATCTCCTCTTCCCTAGCATAGCTGCTACTTACCACATGGCCAGATTTATGGTGGTTCTTTCCTCCTGAAAGAAAGATTTGAAGTTTTCTGAACTTACAGTCATTTTTCTCCATGTCTGGTTCGATGATGTTACTTTGGTGATGTGCATTCGTAGTCCTGGACTTATTTTCACACATAACCTAAAATAATGTTTCCCCCCGTTAAAAATTTAGCACTTTCTTGGCCTCAAAATGCATCTTTAAAGTTCACGGACATCGTATGTGAAATCCATGGCACATAAACAGAAATAGTAAATAGCGTTTTTAGCCCCATTGGCTTGCACTCATTTTTTCGTTCTTCCAGGGACCCATGGTCCAGAAGTACCATTCCCTACAGTTTGATCCAGATCAAGTTAAAAAGGTCAAAATAGTTTTGGAAAAGTCTTTTATTGGTTTACTATTAAAACATAATTACTAGCGATGCACATAGTTAACTGGTTAACCAGTTAGTTGCCATTAACTCATTCACTGTCATTGAATTTAAATCCAACCGTTCACTGCCAATGACAATTAAAGTCATCATCTGCATATTTTACGGTGCGGGCTTTGGAACGAGCCCCCGCACCGTGAGAACAAACTTCTCAGCTCTAAAGCCGAACTTCATCCTCGTATGTCACACGTCATGTGATCATGAAGCAGAACATCCATGTGTTAGGAGATCGTTTTGGGCCACTGCTGTAAAAAAAGGTGAGGCGCGAACCGGAAAAGCTTCTGCCGATCACAATTCAACATCGGATTATGAAAGAACGGATGACGCTCGAAACGTGTGGATTCTTCCTGATGTAAGAGGTGAGTCTCCATTTTGGTTTGGTCGTTTTGGTTGTTTTGGCGTCGACATCATCCCAGCGTGCATCGTTCTGTGACTCTTAAAGGGACTATAAGGAAGTTTGAAGTTTCTATGGTCGCGATCGCCACTCAGGCCTAATGCGTAACGGCAGCTTCAAAAGTAGGCTCGTGCATGAGGTGCGCATGCTGTACGTGCACACTCCTTAAAGAAAATAACAACTGAGACAGTCCTGTGTGTGTGTGTGTGTGTGTGTGTGTGTGTGTGTGTGTGTGTGTGTGTGTGTGTGTGTGTGTGTGTGTGTGTGTGCGTGCGTGTGTGCGTGCGTGCGTGCGTGCGTGCGTGCGTGCGTGCGTGCGTGCGTGCGTGCGTGTGGCCTGGAGGACAAAAGAACACAGCAAATTAATAAAAATAATGTGCCTCTGTCTCTGCAGCTGCACTTTCTCGTCGGCCGGCCGAACGTGCAGTGTGTGTATGTGTGTGTGTGTGTGTGTGTGTGTGTGTGTGTGTGTGTATGCGTGCGTGCGTGTGTGTGTGTGGCCCGGAGGACAGAGGCCAGGAGAACGCGCAGCTAATTAATTAAATAATTTGGTTCTGTACCTTTTTCTTCAGCACAGCCGACAAAGGTTTATGATGGGTCAGTCCTCCTGCATGCTCAGATCATTCCCTTCCCGTGCTTGAACAATTGTTCCAAAATGAAAGTTGAACCCACATCTTTTTTATCTGTGAATTCAATACCGTTCCGCGAGTCTCAAATAAAAATTTGGGCGTCTTACTGTAAAAAAATATATCATTAATGTAAAAATGAAACTCCAAAAAACAAATTATGTTCACACCGGGAATCAAATTCAGGTCTTCTGCATGAAAGTCAGACTTATTACTAGGTGAGCTAAAGCGCCAGTGACATTGAAGCTATCTGTAACATTTATATCCTTGATGACAGCTGAAACAACGTCAATCCAAAGAACGGTTCGGAGCGAAAATGGCTATTTTGTTGCTAATTTGCAGGAAATATGTAGAAGAAAGTTCTACAGAAAGTAGCTAAGGGTCCTCAGAAATGTAGCTAGCTTTGTCACTAGGCTTAGGAACAGCGACAAAGTGGTACTGCCTCTCTCTCTGCTGCTAAAGCTACTGATAGCAAATGCTACGGGCTATGCCTGAGCGTGAACGCGCATGAAGCAGCCTGCTCGACCCGAGCATCTCTCTTTTTCTGTGATTTTACAGAAAAACAGGAATCACAGTAAAAATGCCAGAGCTCATTCTACAGGACCAGGGCATTGCAGGAGAATGTATGAAGAAGACATTTATTATTTCTATACATGTTTTGGCTGTCAAACTTCCTTAAAGTCCCTTTAAAAAAAACAGTAAAAACGGTGAGAAACGCTGACAGCGAAGGGCTTTACCGATCAGGAAACGGCTGGCAGTGAATAAGTTAATGTTGTAACCAGGTAAACTAGTTTTGTCCAGTTTACTGCTTAAGCAGTTCCTTCTGCTGCGCTTGGGCATAATATATTTTGTGCCGCTAGAGGGCGCGAGAGTGCCCAGAAGAAGAGTGGGCAATTCCCATCTGTACCGGGTCGGCCCGGGCCGGGTAGCGTAGGTTGTTTACATATCTGGGTGGCCTGGTATTTTTCCGGGCCAACCAAGGCTCATTCTCAGCCCTCTTCTCGAGGGAGTCTGCTTCAGGCCGACCAGGGCCAACACACCCACTGCTGACAACAAATTCACACCTTCCATTAGAGCAAGCCTCTGATTGGTGGGTAGAATCAGCCCACGTGGGCTTAAGACAAGGATGTGTGGAATCAACCGGGCCAGGCTGGGGCCGACTGGGGCCGACTGGGGCTACCCGGCCCGGGCCGACCCGGTACAGATGGGAATGGCCCAGAGGTGAGCTCACATGATCAAATAAATTTACTCAAAGAAGAAGCGGTACACAAAGAGCTAAGCGTGGGAGCATTTCAGTCTTGGTACTGAACACAAAAATGAGCCCCACATTGAAGCGCTGAGCCTGGCAGAAGATGGAAACTAAGCTGCACAACAAACTGAATCGACACCAGCAACAGGTCAGTCTTCGATCTTGCTTGGTGACAACCAGTGCTTAATTTGTAAATCAAATGGATAAATGAGTATTAACCGTTAAGAGCTTCAAACGTCCCTAAGAATTACAGTGAAGTAAGTTTAAAGTTATATGTAATAGAGACCACAAGGGTTGGATAAACACTTACCTCTCTGTGCGCTCTCCACTCTGCAGGTTGAAAAGCAGCGAGGGGACGATCTTGTCCATGTGCTGAGGGTCCCAGATATTAGCCTGCAGCTCATCATTCACAGTCTTCCTCACCACTCCCTGCAGACCTTTGATACCTGCCATCCGGATCCTGATGGGAATAATCACAAAGACACACAACAGAAATCCATCTGAATTTAGCCACATTCGTTTTTATCTATTTTTACTCAGTGTCCCTCTGTGCCTGATTGCTGTTCAACTCAAAATATACTTAACTGTTTGAAGAATGACACTGTTTCTATTTTCAGCGAGAGCTTAAAGCCATACTTTGCAACTTTTTCACTTTTTAAAATCATTTTCTTGTGTCGGTATGTGCTAAAATGACCCTCCGTGTCCAGAATATCACATTTGCAACTTCAGGCTGGCAGGCCGCTCTGTTCCCTCTGGGAACAAGTTGAGCTGCCATACCTGGCACTACTGTCTGCTTCCAGCACGTTTCCTACATGTTTTAGATCATGAACACAGCTGATTTGTTTAATTTAGTGATGAGTCGTTATTGTTAACACTGGGAGACATTTCAGCTGTAAGATTAAGGTGTGAAAAAGACAAAAGCACAGCAAGGAGACAAGTTATGCTTTCGTTTTGACCACAGAGAATTAATGGCCACTAGGGGGTGCTAAAAGCAGGCAAAACAGCTCGGTGTGCCTCTGAGATCACAGGACTGCTTGAAAATTTGTTTAATAAAGACATATCCAATAATTAATTTAAACAGTCTAAAAACAGGTGTTAATTAATTATTCTGTCTTCAACGTGATTTTGTCCACTTACTTGGTGCGGATGTCAGGGTCCTCAAAGTTTGAGTGGCACATCTCGCTGAAGCGCGACACAAAGAAGTCGTAGCTGCGGTGGTAGGACGGTGTGTCTTCTTCAATGTTAGCAAACTTGACAAACTGACAACAGAGAATAATTTAAACATATTTTTTAAGCAATCAAGATCTTATTTTGTCTTTTGTATCATTATACTTTAGGGCTGCAACAACGAATCGATAAATTCGATGAAAATCGATTACTAAAAGCGTTGGCAACGAATTGCGTCATCGATTCGTTGTGTCGCACAACTCTTCCAAAAGCGCCCCCCCCCCCTTCCCGCCCGCCGTTGCGCGCAGACCAGAGCAAGTCAGATCAGCGCGAGGGAGAGCCGCAGATCAGCGCGAGGGAGAGCCGGCAGATCAGCGCGAGGGAGAGCCGCAGATCAGCGCGAGGGAGAGCCGCAGATCAGCGCAAGGGAGAGCCGCAGATCAGCGCAAGGGAGAGCCGCAGATCAGCGCAAGGGAGAGCCGGCAGATCAGCGCGAGGGAGAGCCGCAGATCAGCGCGAGGGAGAGCCGGTAGCGGCAGATCAGCGTGAGGGAGAGCCGGTAGCGGCAGATCAGCGCGAGGGAGAGCCGGCAGACTTGCGCTGCTGCGAACCGGTTCCGCATTGTTGCACAGCGATCCAGGCAGCTGCTTCCAGCGCACGGTCCATTCTCAAAGTGGCGCAACCAAAAAACTATAATTAGCACACGATCGTTCATGTCCGCACATGTTCTCTATTTTCTGTCTTATTTGTGCCTGAAGCTCGCTACTGCGGAGCTCATCACCTGTGCTGTGGTGATGTCACCTCACGCAGCATCGAAAACGCGCTCTGCGCTTTTCGGTCAGGAGATCCCTTTGATCTGCTCAAAAGTAACTGATGAGGTGAAAAGGTAAGAATCCAGGCAGCAGATTTTCTGGAGAGTTTAGAGGAGATGCAGGAAGATGAGAGACAGACAGGACAGGAAAATAGTTCAATAAAAACAAGAAAACAAAACAAAGTGTTGAAAAGTAAAATGTAGGTAGATTTATCACCACTACACGTTTTTACCTATAAAAAACAATAAGTTATACACATGTCATATTCATAGGCGTCATTTTAACCGGGGACGCCGGGGACATGTCCCCGGCAAAATTTGTGATTGGCAGCTGTGTCCCCCCCCCCCCCCCCCCTTTAAAAAAAGCCTGCTGATGAGGATTTTTGTTTTACCAGCTCAGATCTTATACCAGGGGTCGGCAACCTGTTCCCATCAAAGAGCCATTATTACCCGTTTCCCACAGTAAAGAAAACACTGGGAGCCACAGCGGCCGCAGCGTTGTGGGCGGGGCCTACCCTCAGACAGCAGAGAGCTGCCCACAACAGGTGACAGCAGCCAGTACCGGTCGCTCGCATGGGCGTCGCATCCGTGGGGGATTCAACACCCACACTTTTCCTTCTGTTTTGCTCACCTCCACACCAGTCTTGTTTCTCTATGTCGCACTCACTCTGCCTCATCTCCTTCTTCACCTCCCTCTTCTGACAGCCGATGTTGGGTTCAAGGAGAGCAGGAGATGGAGGGACGGAAGAGCTCGACTGAATTCATAATTTTACATCTTGACATTAGCTGTACAAAGTCTGAGTTTGATCAAGTGAAGAACAATAATTTGCAGAGTAACAGGCGCAGCGCCAGGTTTTCATTTTTGGGTGGGCCACGGTAATTTTGGACGGACCTTAATAAGCAGTGACTTAAGTGAAGCAGGCAGGACGCGCTAGAAAATTTTGTTTAAAAAGATGTCATAAATGTTTCCCCCGTCATTTTAATTTCTAAAATATGAAGTAAAAACTCACAATTTAATTTTCATTCATTTGTCATTAATATGTAGTCTACACCTGTGCGTTAAGTGGACCATCTTCCAGTAAAAGCAAAGCTTCCAGCCCATCTCTCCAAATGCGTAAAATGTGCATCAGCCGCTAGTTAGCCCAGACAAGAGCAGAGCAAATAGAGAAAGAATAGAGGATAATTCTGTCTGGATGTGGATGGAGATTACATTTTACAGCAGCCTGATCATCATTTAAATACGTAAACCATCACCTGGCTTCTAGTCCACGCTATCAGCATTATTTTAATTGGTGTGTGTGTGTGTGTTTTCCACTTCAAACACTGGTCTAATCAACCAGACCAGCGTGTCCAGTAACATATTAATGTTACACTTCATGTAGGCTAGGAACATTTCACCTGCCGTGGCCCGACCGCTTCTGCTCCACATAAACTTTGTGCGTAATCAAATGTCTCTACAGGAGCTTTATGAGCTGAAGAGGTGATTCTGCCTCAGACTGGATGCGTAATGCGTCTCCATATTAGAGACGGGAACAAGCGCTGTTCAGCCAAAGTTTCATCATTTCATAAAAAGAACATTTTTCCAAGTAACACGTCCCTCAGAGAGACCGGGTTTCCAGAACGCTTCAGTGGGAGGAAATCTTATTGCACGCACCGCGGTTCTGTACTGCGCTGCGAACCCCTCAGATCTTCAGCCCACTGTCCACCGTGGGCACTCCGAGCCGCGCTGAACACAGTGTCCAGTATAAAGCTCTGATGTTCTGATGGGAATCAAGTTACCTCTGCGATGTGCGCAACGATTAAAATGTCAGCTCATCCATGCGCGTCGGGGCAATTCTTTCAAAACAACCAGCATCCTTGAGTTTATCCGTCAATATGTGGAAAGGTGGAGAAACGAAGGCCCGGGCGGGATTCGATCTCCAGACTCCCGGGTGAGAGTCCTACGCTCTAACCAGTCAGCCAAAGGGACAACCCCTTGGCCAAGTAGCCAGGGCGCATTATCTATCAGGACACTGTGACAGGACCCTCACACTGCTACACCTGATTATGAAACTTTGGCTGAATAGTGCTTGTTCCTGTCTCCAATGTGACGACGCATCCAGGAACCTCTCCGAGGAGAAGCCCAGAATCTGACATCCTCCAGCTCAGGAAGCGCATATGATTACGCACAAGCGTGACGTGTCAACCCGGTCTCAGAGTAGGACCGGGTTGGACCTGTTCAGGTTTACGCAGACAATCTTTACATTTAGAATTGGCATACAGATGTAAAATTAATGCAGTAAAATATAAAGCTTTTCATTTAAATATCCATTCATTATTTTACAAGCCCAGAGAGCCGCATCAGATGGATGGAAGAGCCGCATGCGGCTCCGGAGCCGCCGACCCCTGTGCTAGCCTACTTTATTGTCCCCAGCAATTTTTAAACCCCACTCAAGTGTATGGTTATTGTCCCCAGCAATTCTGAAAACAAACTGACGCCCTTGGTCATATTTACACATCTGATACAATTCAGATCACCTTCAAAACTCAGTCACACACCCAGGGCCGTTTCAAGACATTTTGGGGGCCAAGGCAAAATGCCCCCCCCCCCCCCCCCCCCAATAACTGGGCTCCCCAGAAGCCTCTGTGTAATTCATGCCCTCTCCAGTAGTGTTAGTTATATGGTGTTTATAAAAGCCCCTCAGACATTACTGACATGTTCTAATATTATCAGATGAAAAACTAAATTATCAGACATGCTGTCTCATCTGCTTCTTTTATAAACTTGCAAAAAGTAACAAAACCATTTGAAAGCCACTATTTGTGGATTCTCTGAAAGTTTCCATGGAGTGTGTGACAACTTATTTTTTCATTGATCCTATCGTCTAATCTCACAGCTGAAACAAGCATCCTTAATAATCTGTGCACAGGAAGCTTACCGATGCTGTAGTAAAACAAAAGGTATAATAATTTATTATTAATAAAACCTTGTTGCAGCACTAAAGCAGAAAAATTAGATTTTGCATTAAATATGCAAAATATTTACATATGAATTGTTTTAGAGCCCTTTAATTGGCAGAATCTGATATTAATTTAGTTCTTACAAAAAATGGGTCCCAACATGGTTTGTGTGGCGTTGCCATAGTGTGACGTCATAGGCACAGATCCCCTGTCCTCTTGTTTGGAAATGGAAATATGGTCACCCTACATTAAACAAACTGTCCACCCGGGCTTTTGCACTGCACAGAGAAGCTTCGCTGCCTACGACTGAACGTCAGTTGAGAGTCAGTCTCATGCAGACTAACCAATGAAGAGAGGGCCTCAAGTTAAGACCCTCTCCTCATTGGTCAGTCCACACGAGGTGGGTCAAAGGTTACTCTGGGCGGGTTACGTGTTGTCAGGCATTCAAGTATTGAGTATATTTACTGCATATTACAGTAAAATATTCTGTATGTGACCACATTATGGTGATCCTTGGGTCGTGATGATGGAGCCCTTGAATATTGTTGCCCAGGGTACAACAAAGTGTTAATCTGGCCCTGGTTCCGCCGTCACATTCCCGCAGAAACTGGTTGATCACACCGGGGCCAGACTACTAGCGTGTGGTTTTACAACCACAATGTCCTCAGAAGCAAAAACGCTTTTAAAAGGGAGGGAGGAGTCCTAACTGTTGCTGCAGGCGTGTTGTGTGAGAGTGCAGTTATATACTGGTTAATATATTTTTGGGTTCAGTTGCTTTCATGTGGCCTAATGTGAGTCTATTTGGGATCATTGGAATGATCAGCAGCATTTCTTGATGTGACTTTATGGCAGTTGCCCAGGGCATCATCGCAAGGAGGATGGCATTCATTTACTTTTGTTTTATTTGGTATTTTTTCAGTCATTTTTGGAAATAGTGATCAATTTTGATTAATTCACAGCCTATGTTTAATTACATTTAAAATAAATGTCAACAGATGAGATCAAACAAAACAGATGAGAATTGCCCTTAAGCTGTTTAACTTGGACCAAGCATTTTAGGTCACAGATAGATGTAGCTTAGGGTCTCTGTCTATACACCTTATAAGACAATTTAGGTGATGGCATGTTGTTTTTCTGCTATTGAACTGTTTTCTAATAATGTTGTGTTAAATAAAGTGAAGGAAGGAGAGAAATAACGTTTCCCTAGCAGTTTTTAAAAATTTCCCCATGTAATCCGATTAATCGATTAATCGTGTCGAGACCCCATCCGATTAATCGATTATCCAAATAATCGTTTGTTGCAGCCCTATTATACTTTAAATACAAGTCAAGCTGGAGCTCTACAACATCTAGTCAGTGGTGAAAAATGCAAAGAGGAAGGGGGAAATACTCCCACTGAGCCAGCAAATGTCAGCCAAGTAAACCGGCTGAAAGTCATCACCAAACCACGATCCAGGTAATAAATTATAAACAAGCTTTCCTAAAGAACTAGATCATGAAGAGTACCTGAAGCTAAAATTATATCAGTCGACAATAAGGCAGATGGTTAAAGAGCTATTTGATTAGTGAAATCTCATAAAAAAGACTAGGTGATGTAGAAAACCAGCACTCAAAGAAACAATATAATTACATCTTTTTTTTGTTTTGAAATGAAATGAAATATCTCATAAAACAAGCGAGCTTATTACAGCTCACTGCTGCTGTTGATTCCTGAAAGCGATCCAGCTGCCAGTAATACCCAGCAGCTCACAGGTATTAATGCATCAACTCTGTGTCCACGGAAGCAGACATCAGATCTGACTGAAGGCTTCAAGGAACAGTAGATAAAACCTTCGGGTAGACGGAGAGTAAAAAAGGTCATTGCTGAGATCAGGTCTTGCTTTAATTCCTCACCGTCACAGGGAGATTAAAGGTAAAAATCAACAGGATAAAGTACTTTCTGGCCATCAAGCTGAATAAATAGTACAGGTGTAGAAAATCAATGAAGTAAATTACTACGAAGTTATATCTCCTCGTTCTGTTTTTAACGTGCCATTGACTGACCCGTCTGGCATTACTGATGGTGACTTCCCATATCAGAGGATACTAATCCCATTTTCATCCTACCGCTCTGTCACCGAGAATAATCACTAAAAAAAACTAATAGTGTTTCTCTGAAGGTTTACGTCTCCTACGGTGTGACATCGCTTCATGAAAGTAAATGCAACCTGTCAGCTTTGATTAGATAATACGTCTAAATCCACTCAGATGGGTACGACTCGATGTTTTAAAACTCAAGCACATTAGAGGCGAACAGGATATTTATAGGTCTAAAATAAGCAGTCCAAACTGCTTCTACTAAACTCAAGTCACAGATTTCTAAATCACTTAAGAGACGATGATGCTCAACTGAAAATATCAATTAACTAAATCTTGCAGTGAATATTTGAGCATTCTATTTGATTGCAAACAGGACCAACACCCTACATCACCGTGTTGGTAGCAGGTGTTGTGAAGAAAAAAGCTGCCCTATTCTGAGAAACCTACCACCATGGAAAGTATGGCAGGCTCATTTATCCGCTATCGTTCTTCTTTCCATAGCAGCTTCAGACTCATCTCTAAACTCCTGTCCATCTCCAAGATGTTGGAAAAGGTTGTGGATTAACAACTCACAACTGCTCTTGATGAACATAGCATTTATGATAGTTTCCAGTCAGGTTTTGTAGAGCTCATTCTACTGAAACAGCTCTTCTTAGGGTCTCTAATGACCTACTGACTCACAGTGATAGAAGAATAGAATATATATATGGATACACCTTAATAAAATGGGAATGGTTGGTGACATTAACGTCCTGTTTGTGTATATGTGAGGGGGCAAACTTTTCAAGATGGGTGGTGACCATGGTGGCCATTTTGAAATTGGCCATCTTGGATCCAACCGTTGTTTTTTCAATAGGAAAAGGGTCATGTGACACATCAAACATATTTGTAATTTCACAAGAAAAACAATTGTGTGCTTGGTTTGAACGTAACTTTATTCTTTCATGAGTTATTGACAAGTTTCTCCTTGTTCACAGCCATTGACATGTCGAAGAGGTTAACACATGAGGGGCGGATCGAAATTGTGTTGATACCTGGTGAACACAGTAACTGGGTCATTGCAGCAGATTTCAATGCAAGACACCCTATGAGACCACCCATCCCCCATGCTACAGTTAGCAAACTGCTTGCTAAGTTTCGTGAAACTGGTTCAGTGTTGGATTTGCCAAAATGTGGATGCATGAAAACTGTCACCAATGAAGAAATATCAGTGGCTGTTCTAGCTTCATTCGGCAAGAGCCCACAGAGTAGCACTCGCCGCATGTCACTGGAGAGTGGCATTAGTCTTACATCCCTTCGGCAGATATTAGCTACTCACAAATGGTGCCCTTACAAACTCCTACTGCTGCAGCATCTCAACGAGGATGACTCAGATTGGCGCACAACATTTGCAGAATGGCCAAAACAAAAATTGAAACAGCACCCTCAGTTCACACAGAAGATTTTGTTTACTGATGAGGCAAATTTTTATGTGAATGGTGAAGTTAACAAACAAAACCACCGCTATTGGTATGACACCAACCCATATTGGATAGATCCCTCCAAGACTGTTGGAACAAAAAAAGTGATGGTATGGTGTGGCATATGGGGTACAAAGATAGTGGGGTCATTCTTCATCAATGGAAACCTAAAGGCCACTTAATATTTGAAATTGCTACATGATGATGGGTTTCCCTCTTCATGCACTGAAGCTGGCACGTTCCCTGAGTTTTTCCAGCAAGATGGCACACCACCACATTATGGGTGTCAGGTCCGAGCATTCCTAGATGAACAGTTTCCTGGAAAGTAAATTGGTCATTGTGGGCCAGTTGAATGGCCCACAAGGTCTCCCGATCTGACTCCCTTAGACTTTTATCTTTGGGGTCATCTGAAGGCAGTTGTCTATGGTGTGAAAATACGAGATGTGTGGCACTGAAACTACGGATGCTGGAAGCCTGTGCTGGCATTTCTCCTGCAGTGTTACTATCAGTGTGTGAAGAGTGGGAGAAGAGGGTTGCATTGACAATCCAACACAATGGGCAGCACATTGAACACATTTTATAAGTGGTCAGAAACTTGTGAATAACTCATGAATGAATACAATTACATTCAAACCAAGCACACCACTGTTTTTCTTGTGAAATTCCCAATAAGTTTGATGTGTCACATGACCCTCTTCCTATTGAAAAAACAAAAGCTGGATCCAAGATGGCCGACATCAAAATGGCCACCATGGTCACCACCCATCTTGAAAAGTTTGCCCCCTCACATATACTAATGTGCCACACACAGGACGTTAATATCACCAACCATTCCCATTTTATTAAGGTGTATCCATATAAATGGCCCACTGTGTACTTAATTTAGTTTTATTATAAAATGGGTGAAATGAAAAACTGAACTAGCAAACAACAGTGCAATAGACAGTATAGATGTTCAAAATTCTAACTTCTTCTGGTAGGATTTCTATTTTGGATATTGACTTATTCTAGACAGGAGGGGAGGAACATGTATGTGAATATCTGGAGCTGAAAGCAAATTGAACATGAATGAAAAAAGCTACTTTTTTTTTTCTTAGTAGAATGTTCTGGTGAAGGTTCTCAGTCATCCAGGTCACGGTCATCCAAAAGGGTCTGAATGAAGGCAACTGAACTTCTTTGGTTTTTTGAAGCCGTTTAGCTTCTCATCTGACGAGCTTTGTCACTTCTGACTGGAGAGTTAAGCAGTAGCTGTCTATTGGTGCTTGACTTAGGTAGAATGTTGCACATTTAGCCATTAAATCTTGGAGTGTGTAAAGATTTTTACATATATTACAGAAACTGACGTCTAAATCATCGTAACGCTTGTAAGTGGTAACCAGATCTTTGTCTTAGCACAGAAAGAGATGTAAAAATAGCAGCCAGAAAACTCACAGAGTTGGTCCCTAGGATCTGCAGGGATGGTTTGTCCGACTCCAGCAGCTTTCGTACCATCTTCAGAAAACTCTCCACAAACAGGTTGATGCTCTGGCAGTGGCAAGCCATCAGAAGCTGGTCCAAGGCTTCCATAGCAATGCACACATACCTGAAAAGAAAGAGAAAACAGAGAGTAACAAAGATCAGGATGTAGTAAACTCTTCTCTTTTTATTTTGGCGAGTCATCATCAAGTTTAAGCATAATAGAGTTTTACACTCATCGAACTTCCACAGCTTTCAAAGTGAAAACATACTATTTTTTATTATTGACCTATTTTTAATTAGTTCTGAGCTTTTGCATAGTCAATTATTACCTGAATTATGTAACATGACAATCTAAAATTATAGCTAAATATAAAAGCGAGAGAAAGATGATCATATTAAACGCATCAGGGCAGAAATCAAAGAGATCTTGTGAATGATGTTACCCGTATCGGTGTCGGGCCACATCCCTGGACAGCCTCTCAGACAGGTAGGCCCCGATGCGGTCCAGCTTCTCCGGAGCTGACAAGGCGTAGAATGTCAGCTTCTCCATGTTGGCCTTGACCAGTCCATCCTGGGAGAGTTCTCAGAGTAAATATACTCATACCTTGATTGATTGAATCAAGATAAAAACACCGTTTGTCGCTTTACAAACAATTGTGAACTAATCCAGCAGACTGAATGCAAAAAGAAGCCCTTTTCAAAAAAGCTGAATGTAAAGTGTATAACTAGACCACGAAGTTCCTACCTGACCTACTTCACTGCTTTTCACTTTGGCCATGGGTGAAAGAGAGCTAAAAAAATCTCTAGTCCACCGAGAACCCATTTACATTCAGTCAAGGCCCAAAAGAACCAAAGCAGCAATCCAAAATCCAAAAGGAGAATAGCACACAGTGAAAACAAGCATTTCAGGCTAAAAGTGATGCTCAGACAATCAATTACACAAGAAATGCAAAGGATAAATAGAAAAAACTATCTGAAAAACTACAATTACTTTTAATTTTTTGGCAGAAACACTCAAATACTGTACATGTGCAGGTTTGAATCAGCTGGTTTTATTAAGTCAAGGTTACTGGGGCATCACGAGTTTTCTACAGCAGCTTGAAGCCAAAATTAGAAATCCTTTTTTTGGAAGAGCATCGGGCAGGTGCACATCTACACAATCACAAAACTGGGAATGTTTCAATTCTAATTCTAATTCAAAAATACTTTATTAATCCCGGAGGGTCTCCTTTAAAGACTTATGGGAAACATAAAGTGGGTAACTATCTACGCACAGACTGATTCTCCTGATGAGTCAGATTTAAACATAGAAAACAGTGCAATAGATGAGGTCTGAGACAATCCTGTGGGTTTTTTATTATTTTCCAAGACGACCTCAAACTCCCTCTTCTTAAATAATTGATTTACTAGCTTATAGCAGATTAAAACCAGAGAGAAAACCTTGATTTTCATAGGCGACGGTTTAGCAGGGTGGAAAATTACTCAAACCTCCAACAGGAACGACAGCAAGACCAAGAAGAAAAGTGTTGCTCCAGTTTCTCACCTCTGGATCTTCTGGGAAGATGTTGTCCACCAGCCTCTTGTAGCGAGGCCTGAGCGCCCCGCAACAACCACAAACCCCTAAAGAAGAACAGAAAGAGAGGAAACAAAGATGGTGAATAACGTCTCTCTATTCTGTTAGGTCTGATCTACTTTACACAACGGTAAATAACACCTTCATTATACAGACACAGTAGTGTAAAGTGCTTTTGAGTCCTTTGACTCTGAAAGGTGGCAAACAAGTTGGAGTCGTTTATCATTATTACTATTAGGGCTGCACAATATATCGTAAATATATCGTTATCGCGATATCAGCATGCACAATATGCATATCGCAAAGAACAGATAAATATCGTAATCAATCAATCAATCAAAGCTTTATTCCGCAACCCTGTCAGGAAGCCCATGGCGCTGAACATGGTACAGTACAAAGTTAAATAAAGTGAATAAATCAGAAAATAAAAGCAATTCAAATTACAGATTACAAATTACAAAAAAGGTGAAACATTCTAGTAGTAATGAATGGTCAGCTCAAATGTTTGCTACACATAATGCATTCTGTCAGTCAAATGGAAGCATGATGATTTTTTTAACAAACCAAATAGAGCCCTTCACCCACTTGGCCAATTGGGTGGGTTCTCATAGGTCAGATGCCCGGCCCCGAGGCGGACGGCCCTTAATTTTGATGGTTAGCAAACACCTGAGTTAGCTTCATTAGCTCTTTTTGCTGATTCTGCTTTTCCCGGGATCCAGTGAGTCCCTTTCCTTTTTCATTTTTTTCCCTTTCCTCACATCTTTTGCTTTTCTCATTTTAATGATTTTTTGAATTTCTTTGTTTTTGATTATTTTTGTTCCTGAGTTATGTTTTTATTTCTCGCAAGTAATATCGTCATCGCAATATTAATCAATGTTATCGAATATCGTAGGTTTTCCTAATATCGTGCAGCCCTAATTATTATGAAAGTGGAGTACATGTACTTTATAAAAGGTTGCAGCAGAAAGACAGTAAAACTCACCTGCCAGCAATTTAAAGGCATAGTATACAACTTTTTAATGTTTTTAAATCATTTTCTTGAGCCATTATTTGTTAAATTGACCCTTTACAAGGTTATTGAAAGTCATTTAGACCCCCATTGTCCCGTGTGGCCAGAAGAGTACCGTACTTGTAACTTAAGAGTGCCAGTCAGGTCCCTGTTGGACTTAGTAAAGTAGAGCTGACATGCCTGGTTCTGGAGTCGGCTTCCTGTATGTTTTAGATCCTGAACACAGCTGATTTGTTTGATTTAGTGATGAACCGCTCCTGTAGAAACTAATGAAGGCTGGGGAGACATTTCAGCAGTTAGATTACGGTGTTTAAAAGACTAATGCACAGCAAGGAGATACGTTTAAATTTTTGTTTAACTGCTGGGCACTAGGAGGTGCTAATTAAGCCAAAACTGCATTGTATCCATTTAAGAATCACAACTATTGTAAATGAAAGCAGCATGTCTCTTCAACAGCACACTGAAATGATAATTGTGTGTACCCTTATTTTCCTAAGTAACAGCTGTGTCTTGCATGTGACGGCTAAAAACATGCATGGAGAAAAACTTTAGGGCTTCCTGCTGAAATGGTTCACTGCTTTTTTCTTTTCCACCAGCAGCATTTGTGACGATAAGATGAACTGGCGTGGCTCTGACTGCACCAGCACAGACGGAGACAAGCGAAGAAAACAAAACATGCAAAAATGATAGTAGCTACAGACAAAACATTGCAGGTAAATCCAGGCAGAAAAATGCATCTTCCATCTGCCGTTCTCTCAAACAAAACAGCCTTGAGATAACTGAAACACACACACACACACTTTGAACACTGTTTTTTTTTTTCAACTTTGCATTTAAGAAGGCAGCCAGATAGAGCTACATTCTGATTGGCTGACAGACTTCAGCAGTGGTGAGTCATAGTGAGCTATGGGAGAGCCAAAACATGAAGAAAGGGATAACCTCCACAAAAACCCCAAATGAGTCCTTAAAGCCTTCTCTCTGTGCTAACCATAAAATATAATCCTGCTGCCTTCAAGCATTCACCTCACCAGATTTAGCCCCAAGTAACTGATGGAGAAGTGGGTCATGAGGTGCAGGAGTGGGGGGCTCGACGTGTCAAACAGCAATAGCTTTTATTAAGTGAACCCTTCATAAATTTGAAAGTTACTCTTTTTATTGTCTCAACTGAAAATGAAAAAAAGAGACTTTTCACAACGTTACACTGACTGAAGCACATTTTAAGACCCTGACCCATCATCAACAGCTTACTGTGTCTCAACTGGATGACAACGAGACACTATTTTTTAAAAGCACTAGAAACCGATTTAGAAGGCAGACTTTAAACCAACACAGACAGGGAGTCTTGTTCTGTGAAACACCCCGGCTCCAACCGAGACGAGATTACCCAGACCAGCTGTCAGCTGGTGCCATTCGTCCTCGAAATCACAGGATTTTTATCCGTGGTAAACAAATAACAAACCAACTGTGCACATCCTGATTAATGATTAATGATTAATCTAAATGAACAACACATATATTAACCAACTCTGTACCTCTTTCTAAGAAAAACGACTTTTTGTTTAAATAAAGCTCACAGCAATGATTAGTCAGGTTTGAAAAATGGAAAAAACAAAAATCGCTTAGATGCAGGATCATTTTCCAACCCTGGCTGGACACAGCAAATCACTATGTGGGTTTTATAAAAGGCAGGTGTCAACTCAGAGATCTGAAATGGTGCAAATGGTACGTTTCACTGTAATGAATTTTGTTATAGTGATTAAGATCATCACTTTAGGTTTGAAAATACATTGAAAGTGTTTAAAAAGTACCCTAATAATCTAAAGGTTTTCTACAGAGTCAAGCATTTTTAGGTTTTAATTATATTAACAATAATGTTATTGTTGTTAATAACTATTCGTATGCTTTTTTACTAGAAGTAATACTATTTATCAATAATTATTTTACTTGTATACATACTGTATTTAACTCATTACTCAAACTGGCAAAACTAAAACTTTGGTCTCTCAAAAAGCTTAAATCTCGTCACTGCTGCCTGCATTCTTCTGTTATTATGACCAAATATGATTTTAACTGTGCTTAAAGTTGTGCTTTACTGAAAAAACATTTTAATGATTATTTCTGATTATAATCAGTCACCGTGGTTTTTCATGCAGGCTGAACCAGGCTGAAATAATCCCCTACGCCTATCTCCTGCATTAGCTTCTGATAGAAAATAGACGGTAAAACTCAAGAACTGGTAAAGCCTGACAGATTTATGTCACATGGTCACTAACATTAATGGATTCATCCATCATTACTTATGACAGGGAAGGCTGTTGTTGTTTTAGCGTCCAGAAAACATCAGAGAACGTCTTGACTAGTAGAAGCTAACAGTTAGCATTAGCAACTCCACCACACAGCAGAACTCCTCCAGGCTTGTGTTATTTGTGGAGATAAAACATCCACAAACAGAGTCAATGGTAGAGTTGCGTTACTGTTGTCCAATCCAAGGTGAGATGTCCAATTATCAGGAAATTAAACTCCATATTCTGTCGTCTAAAGCTCAACATCTGATCTGGCTGACTTCTATTTCCTGAAACAGGCGCACCGGTACTCCCCACCCACCCACCCCCACAGTACGACTTAAGCCTAGTTTATGATTCAGTGTGAGCTCCATAAGGGAGAGACACATACGCACTGACAGAGACGTTTTGCTCTCAGACTTCTCCTGAGGAGTGTTGCAAAGCAATTCCCCGCCAGGACAACAGAGGGCGTAGAGCTTTTCTGTGGTATCCTGTCATGTAACTAGTCCAAGATAGCACTTTAACTACCGCGTTTTTAATATTTCTAATACTTTTTAACACGGACAAATTTGGCCCTCATTCTCCTCCACCTCTTCATGCGCTCGCCACCTCCAAAACCAAAGTTTCCCATCATTTCCACCCTCGAATAAAACGCTTGCTGCGTATCTTTTTACTCCTCCAGACACGAGTAAATAAACATTATATTTTTTGTTTTTACGTGAGGTATTTTTCAAGCTGCTCCATGTTTGCCGCTAGATATCTTCAGCTCTCTTTACGTGTTTGAGAGCACAATGGCGGTGCTGTTGACAAAAGCAGCATCCTGACCATACACAAGGTTGGGTTCTCCGTCTCGTTCAATGGATGTTTAGAAAAGTGGGCTCAACTAAGTTTGTCCTCGCAAGCCTGCTGGAGAGCCCTCACAGGGACGGATAATGGCATTGCGTGTCTCCGTTCCGACGCAGATGCAGAAACAGCAGCAGAAGCATAAACTTGGCATAACACGGCATTTATTCCTTCTAGAGGCCACTGCAAATATATTAAAATTTGAGCAAAGTACCACTTTAAAAGGTTAAACAGTAATACTAACCATAAGAAAGGTTGGTCAAGTGGAAGACCCCGAAATCTTAGTAAAACCACCCTAACCACATCAACCAGTTAAAGGCTACATGGTTTGATTTTAATGAGTTCACTTAAACACCACAGCAAGAATTGTCTTTGAGCTCATCTCAAAGAGCTTTGTGTCTACATAGTATTCCCCTCTCCTCCTCCTCCTCCATCACTTCAAACTAGGGCTGAAAAGATTCCTCGAGTACCTCGAATAATTCGAGTACAAAAAATCCTCGAGTCAAATTCTCTGCCTCGAGGATTCGTTTAATTCATATTTAATTAATTCATGGCTTTGCAGTCGCCCGTGGTCATGTTTCACCCGGACTGAAATAAGTGACGCACATGCCCACTGGACTGAATCGCACACGCGAGTAGGGAATGTAACTTAACTTTATCTTAAGCTATGGCGGACAACGTGGATCCCGGTGGAGTGCGAAAAAGACAGAAAATGTCAAGATGTGGGACCATTTTTCACGTCGTAAGGTGGAAAACGTAGTCCAGTGAAAATACTGTAAAATGGATTTAGCCTACCACAACACCACATCCTCCGTGCTGCAGCACCTGTAAATGTCACTTCTGCAAGCGGACTCGGAGCCTCTACAAGATAATGCTTTTTAGCCTGTATTTCTATATATTCTGCGGACACTGC